AGAGTGGGGTTGCTCCCCTGAGAGAGAGCTCCAACAGGTTGAAGTCATGGTGAGGACAAACGATAGATGGTATGATAGCAGGTTATGGTCGGATAGAGGAATTTCTGCATTCTTGATCATGAAAGTGAAACCCTTGTGGATGGTGAGATTTAGGGTGTAGCCATTCATGAGGTGAATTTGTAGTTGAGGTTGATGAACCAAAAGAACAAGGTACTTAAGGGAACATCGACATATATAGTGAATTTCCTCAGTAAAAGTTTTGGGGTCATAGGGGAGAGGAAGGCTGAGCTCCTTGAGAAAGGAGTGAGAAAGAATGCCTGGGTTTGGGGGGGTGCTGGTTGTACAGTAGGTAACTCCCACCAGAATCTAAGCAGTATGATTGGTTCGAGTGGAGACAACCTCACAGGAGAGGCAGCTTTGATGGAAGACTTAGTATCCGAGCTGGATGTAGAAGGGTGGAAAGAATTTGAAGCAGTGTACAGTTTACAGACTGGAGTGAGGGAGGGAAGAAGATGATTCATTTCAGGTGTTGCCATATTTTATGTTGTTCTGTGATGTACCTGGCTGAGCATGACTAACTTCCCTGTTAATTTTGCAAGTCTCTCTAGCATTACTTTGACCCTCCCTTTCACTTTCATGGTATTCAAACCTGAATGAGTCGAGAGAAACCCTCAGTCCTTCACTTTTGGGAAGTCATGTCTATCTCTTACCTTTTTCCTTCAGGGGCAGGGTGGTTCATAGCATGAGAGGCCTGTTGCCGTGTTGTATCCCCCTCAATAGGATATAAGCTACTTGAGGACAAGAATTGGTTTTTTTCTTCCTTATAGCCTTACACCTGGCACACAGTGAGTATTTTAATGTTTCTTAGATTGGGTTAGATGGGTGCTATGCCCATCAGTGTGAGGTGAGCTAAGAGCAGATACGTTTGAGAAGCTGGTGATGTGCTCACTGAGCCCTAATGAAGGAGACAGAATCTAGGCTGGGAAATGGCTCTTCTGAGCTCCCTGGCTCCTGCCCATTTGGCCTCTACCTCCCAGTGACAGTGTGTAGAATCCTAGAGTCTTACTGGAGACATAGCCCATTTTGAGGGTCAGAGAAGTTACTTTCCTTATCAGGGGGAAGAAATAAACCTGGGACACTTTACAGATGTGACCTGGAAACCCTGATATTTTTGGAAGATAAACCCTCACACAGCTGTGTAAGGAAGCAGGAACAGTGGATGTGGCAGGACTGTCTTGGAGACAGTGTTCTTGGGGTGAATGGTAGGGAGGGGAGCGGGTTACATAGAATTTGGATTCTCAGAGAACGGTGTTTGGATTCCGACACCTTCTAGTAGAAATGTCTCTGATCACAGAATGAGAAGAGCTGTGCTCATGGGAGGCAGCATAGTATAGTGAGATGAGAACTGACTCTGAGTGAAAGGTTCTGGGTTCAGATCCCATCTCTGACACTTCCTACTACCTAAGTAAGTCACTTAGTATCAGTGGGTCTCAATTTCCTCATCTTTTTAAATGAGAGGGATAGAGTAGATGACCTCTGAGGTTTCTTGTACCTCTATGATCTACAAGTTTTTTCTTACTCTGACATATGTTATGTAACCATGAACCAGTCATTTGATATCCTGTGACTGAGTTTCCTCTTTATAAAATGGAGATGATACTTATATTATTGACTTTATAGGGTTTTTGTGAGGAAAGCACTTTGTAGACCTTAAATCAAAGTTTTTATTTGACGACAGTATGTCACTGTGGTATATGGGATATAGAATTGGCATGCCATTTAGGACATTCTGGGTTCATGGGACCCAGACCATGGGATTCTGGACAAATCACTTAAAGTTTCAGTGCCTTGGTTAACTCTTTAAGACTACAAATTGGTGAATGATTGCCAATCCACATTGGTAAAGCAAGTTTCTTTTACTGGTAGCTCACTTATGAAATCAAAAGTCTAGTCCCCTTCACCCCCCAAGGCAACCTTGTAATTTAGCAAACAATTATTAAGCACCTGCTGTATGCAAGACATTTAGGGTATGAAGCCATAAACATGAAGCCCGCATTCTACTGGAGACACATATATACTCAAGGAAAATCAAGGAGGGAGATGATACCAGGGACACACAAATGGCTTCATTGGAGGAGTTGGCCTCTGTCCTCCAGTAACCATCCCACTGTGACTTCACGCTCTCTTGCCAACAAGCCTCTGTGTGCCAGAAGATATTTAGTCCATCTGAACTTCATCCAATTCATCCTCGAGGCATTGACACTTTCCAGGTATGACAGCCGCCTGGGCGGGCTTCTTTTGATGGCTTCACTCATCAGTGTATTGAGAGCAAGGTGCTTGTTGAACCCACTGAGAAGAGGTCGTGATCTCTTACCTTTGCCAATAACGTTGGAAGAGAGCTTTAAAAAACTGCCAGTATCCAGTGGGGAATATTAATAGCCTCTATAAAGGCGAGTTATTTTTTATTTTTATTCTTGTTCCCTCATCCACAAGCAAAGGAAAATCCAGGGGGGTTGTGGCTACTTGAAACAGCTTCTCTGGGGCTTGGCAGGGCAGTTAGGTATAAACTGGTTAACATTTATCAAGGGATTAAGGGATTCTAGCCCCTCTGCTGCCTGGCAAACGCTGTATTTTGTTGTTTGTGTTTTAAATTCACATGGCTGTTACTGAACTTGTAGCCAGGCTGTACCCACAATCAAGATCATGGAGGATTCGAGTTGCCAAGATGGCCAGGACACAAACACGTGGGTTGGAACTAACTACAGTGATTGGAAAGCTTAAGAAACACGGAGACAGTAGAACTCTGGAAGTTGAGACAACCGTTAATGTAGCCTGTGTCTGCATGAGTTCTGGCCCTGGAACCTTTGCTTATCTTTTGCAAACTCACCTTTTTCCTTCTGACTTGCTGAAAGTGATCAATCAGCTAATCCACTGGCATTTTTTAAGCCCCATTATGTGCCAGGCACAGAGAATACAGAGACAAAAAGGAACATCTACCCTCAAGGAGTTTACACTCAATTGAAAAAGTCAACATAAGCATATACAAGTATATTGTGGTGGGGAAGACGTAGTAACTGGGGGAATCAGGAAAGGCTTTATGTAGAAGGTGGCATTTGAGCAGAGATCTGAAAGAAATAAGGGACTGTAAGAGGTGGAGACAAGGAGAGGAGCATTGCAAACAAAGACATGGGGATGGAAGATTAAATGTCATTTATGTGTGAGGAACAGCAGGAAGCCCAGTATGACTTGATTCCTGAGCACTGGAAGAAAACTGGAAAGGTAGTTTGGATGCCAGGTTGTTAATGGCTTTAAATACTAAAGAAGAGCTTATGTTTGATCTTAAAGGCAACAGGGGGCACCATTAGAGTTTACTGAATTAAAAGAGGTGACATGGTAAGATTTAGGGTTTTTTCTGCAGGTGGGGCTGGAAAGGGAAGATGAAAGAATCTCCCTCTCAGCCAGGAAGTTAAGTGGCCACTCATAGACCAGTTGTCGTTGAGTTGTTTCAGTCATGTCTAACTCTTCGTGACCCCATTTGGAGTTGTGTTGGCAAAGATCCTAGAATGGTTTGCCATTTCCTTCTCCACTCCTTTTTACAGATGAAAGAACTAAGGCAGACAGGGTTAAGTGACTTGCCCAGGGTCGCACAGCTAGTAAGTGTCTGAGGCTGGGTTTGAGCGCATGTCCTCCTGACTGCAGGGCCAGCGATCTATCCACTGTATCACCTAGCTGCCCTTTCAGACCTGATCACAATACTTATCACTATGAATGTTTAACCTGCTTTGTTTTACAGACCTGAGTTGGTTGACTTCTCCTTTGGCATGTTGGTGGCCGTCCACTTCCCAAGTGCTAGATAGAATTAGTATAGACACCTGAGCCCTATCCTACCTCAAAACTCCAGACTCAGCTGATTCTTCAGTTTCTGCCTCCCCCAGTTCATGGGATTGCAGACTTGTGCCACTATACCCTATTAGACTTGCACTTTTTGGCAGCTAGGTGGTACAATGGATAGAGCGCGGGGCCTAGAGTCAGAAAGACCTGAGTTCAAATACAACCTCAGACATTTACTAGCTGTGTGACCCAGAGCCAGTCACTTAACCTCTGTTTGCCTCAGTTTCCTCATCTGTAAAACGGGGATAATAATAGCACCTACCTCCTGGAGTTATTTGAAGATCAAATGAGATGATAATTGTAAAGCACTTTAGTATTGGGCCTGGCACATAATAAGTGCTATATACATGTTAGCTATTATCATCATCATCATCATCATCGTCATTATTGTTACTTTAGGGAAATCACTTTAGCAGCTTTGTGAAGAATATGCTGGAGAGATCTTTGGGTCTAGGAGAGGCAGATTTTACTGGGAGCGCTCCCTGGTGCATGCTTGTAAGGGGACCTTTCTTCTGGAGAGGATGGCTGTTCACATCTTCCATAAATTCAAAAAAGAGATTGATTTGTTTTCCTCAACTAATAAATAAAGTTCCTTTATCCACATCCCTCCCCACCTTGAGTTTTGGGAACTGTGTGCTTGCAAGGGAAGCTGATGGCTTCGCCACTTTGCATGGTGCCGTACACTACTTTCTTGAGATTTTGTGGGTGGGGGCAAAGCACCAGAGAGTTGAAAAATCCTCTAAAACTGGTCAAACTAAAATAGAAACATGAGCCACTAAATGCATAGGGATCCATGTGGGCTGCACATTGACTTAGTTTCAAAATATATTACTTATGTTTTATTGTAAAAAAAAAAATACACTGATGAGATTTCCTTGTTTAGACAGGTGGTTTGAAAATTTCCCCCTGGCAAGCTAAGGCTCTCTCAATATATCTAAATCCATTTTTAAAGCCATGGTGTAAACTGTGGGCTATCAAACACCTGCTTTCTGTTGCATGGCTGATGTCAATTTATAACCACCAAAGAGGAAACACTTGAGATTTATGAGTAGAGAGAATCACTTAAGAAATGGTTGAGATGCTTATGTGATATTTGTGCTTTCTCTTAGGATCGGACAAGTGGACCTCCCTAGAAAGAAAACTATTTAACAAAGCACTAGCCACTTACAGCAAAGATTTTATTTTTGTACAGAAGATGGTAAGAAAGCTTCTGTTTACTAAAATGAAACAACCTCTCCAGCCCACTGTATATGTGCTAATGTATATGTGGGCAGGGCTCCTCGCCCCAAGTTTGAAAGAAAAAGTCTTAATACAGCAGCTAATAAACAATGAATTAATTAATCAGCAATATAGTGTGGATTAAAGATTACTTTGTGTCTTTGGTGTCACCATTCACTCAGTAGCCTAAGATTATTGGAGACTCTTCTCCCTCTCTACCTTTTCACATACGGGTATTACAAAGACATCAGTTCTCTCTCTGAAACATTGCTTCAGTCTCACCTCTCTTCTTTTTCCCCTACTGCGACCACCTTGTACACACTCTCGGCATATATACCTAAGTTATTTTAAAAATAAATCTTCCCAAATCCACTGTCTCCTATTCCAATCCATTCTTCCTGCTACTACTAGTTTAATCTTCCTTGCCCATAAATCTGGTCGTGTTACCCCATTATTTCAAAAATCGTGAGTGGCTCCCTGTTGCCTCCTGATTAAAGTTTATGCTCTTCTCCCTGGCATTCAAAGCCCTCTAGGACCTGGTATATTTCCATCCTTGTCTCACCTTACTCCCCTCCACATACTCTGTTCTTTAGGCAAACTGGACAACTCTGTGCCTTGATCTGTGCCAGTGTTCTCATGCTTCCAAACCTTGATTCAAGCCACTCCTTATGCTTGGAATGCCATCCTCAGTTCACCAGTTAGATTCCTGCCTGTCCTTTAAAGCCCCATCTTTAATGTACCTCTTCCAGGGCTCCTCTGTCCCCCCTTCCCCCACAGGTAATTATCTCTCCATATCTTCACATAGCACTTTATTTTGTACCCTTCTAGTGTACTTATGTAATAGTGTATCTTACCCTTATTTGTTTTATTTTCATCTATTAGACAGGAAGCTCCTTGAAGGCAAAGATCTTCATTTTGTTCTCAAGGGTAGAGTGCCATCCCTGTTTCTAGGACTTTTTTTTTAATTTATTGCTATCTTTTGTTATTACTTCCCCTGTATTTCCCAATTATCTTTCCCCATTTCCATTGAACCATTCCTTATAACAAGAAATTGTTATACCCTCCTCCTTCCAGAAAAACACATCCCTTATTAAAAGGGATCCCTCCCCTTTCCAGAGTGTATCCCTTGGTTCAAAGAATCTCTCTTTTACCGCTCCTAGAAAGCCATTCCTTATAACAAGGAATCTCTCCCTCTCCCCTTCCCATAGAGTCATCCATTATAATCAAGAATAAAGGGGGAAAAGTAGTTTAGGAAAACTTACACATCTAAAGAGTTGACATTATATGAAGTACCTAGAATTTTTCTTTTTTGCGGGAGGGAAGGATTGCTATCCCATATGCCCAGTTCTTTGAACAACCTGGCAGAGAAGTGAATCTTGTACCACATCTGCTTTCATTTGGGGCAGTAAAGTTCTCTGCTGCCTTGGAGCTAGACCAAGTGAGCAGCCCATCCTTTTGTCTGTCACTCCAACTGATGTCAGGGGGACATTTTTTGTCTCTTGAACAAAAAACGAAAGACCTTCATTCATTGAAATGAAAAAAAGAATCTGCTGTTTGAAGAATCTGAAGGTGTTAATCTTAGCAATCTATCCCTTCCCTCCAGGTGAAGTCCAAGACGGTGGCCCAATGTGTTGAGTATTACTACACGTGGAAGAAAATCATGCGCTTAGGCCGGAAACATCGGACGCGTCTTGCCGAGATCATAGATGATTGTGCGGTAAGCAACAGTGCTATGTGCGCTCAGTCCCCTTCTCATCTCCATCCCACTTAACACTTATCACTCCAGGGAATAAGGGGGTGGGGATTACTTTTTATGAATATGACTAATAAAATAAGCCAACAGTTGGTACAGAGAGTATCCTTTCACCTGTCCAGGCGGAGCTTGACACCCGGTCCCCCGATTTCAAGGGCCTCTTCTTTGGAAACCTGTTTGATTGCTTTATCTTCTAATGCCTTGATCTTTAGCATGAACCCATCCCACAGCTAGGCAGGAAAAGAATGAGGTCACCCTGATCTTAAGTTGGGTAGAGGAGGGTCAGCTGAATATGTCTGTAGTTGACCCCAGGGTGGGTCACATGTTCCTGATTCCTGATCTTGACATGTAGCAGTGGGAAATGTACTGAATTAGGAGTCACTGGACCTGGGTTCAAATTTTGCCTCTGTCTACCTGTGTGAAACCATGGGCAAATTCTACCTTCTCTAGGCCTCAGTTTCCTCATCTGTAAAATTATGAGTTTGGACTAGATGCCTTTTAGTGTCCCTTCCAACTCTGAATCCATGGTGTTATAATACCAGGGAAATGATTGTGTTCTATAAATCTGAGTAAAATGACATGCCTTTGAAAGGAGAGAGCCCACTCTCCCAGTTAATAGGGGGATACAACTTATTAGTCATCTATTGACTTACACTCTTTTCAATATGTTGAATTCCTGCAGTTTGTTATTTTTATAGTAATAACTAGAATGTTTCATTCCTTCTTAAGGGCCTTCAGAAATAAAACAAAGGTTATGGAGATAACATGATAGCAGAAATACTATCTTGTTCATCCATGGCCTAGAACCATAGTATAAGCTTTTTTTTTTTTTTTCCTAAGCGTGATCTGTAACCATGGCACCTATAGATATACAGAGACAGATACCTACAGTAGAAATAAATGGTAATATTATTTCATTTGGAAATGACATCTTGTTGACATTCATAAGTTTCTTTAAGGTTTGTGATGTCACTCAGTCACTGAGCATATGGTTTTTTGTTGTTGTTGTTGTTTTTTTTTTTGGTGAGGCAGTTGGGGTTAAGTGACTTACCCAGAGTCACACAGCTAGTGAGTGTTATGTGTCTGAGACTGGATTTGAACTCAGATCCTCCTGACTCCAGGGCTGGTGTTCTATCCACTGCACCACCTAGCTGCCCCTCATTAAGTATTTATTAAGCACCTACCGTGTGCCAGGCAGTTTACTAGTACTGGGGGTACAAAGAAAGGCAAAAGACTGTCCCTGCCCTTGAGGAGCTCACAGTCTAATGGGAAAGACAACAAGCAAACCAATATGTACAAACTATATGCAGGATAATTAGGAAATAATTTACAAAGGGAAGGCTCTAGGATAACGAAAGGCTTCTTGGGGCAGCTAGATGGCACAGTGGATAGAGCACTGGCCCTGAAGTCAGGAGGACCTGAGTTTAAATCCGGCCTGAGACACATAACACTTACTAGCTGTGTGACCCTGGGCAAGTCACTTAACCCCAATTGCCTCAAAAAAAAAAAAAAAAGAGAAAAGAAAAGAAAAGAAAACCAAAGGCTTCCTGTAGAAGATGGGGTTTTGAGCTTGGACTTGAAGGAAGCCAGGAGGTGAACAGAGGAGGGAGAGTCTTCGAGGCATGTGGGACTATCAGAGAAAATACCTGAAGCTGAGAATGGGAGTATCTTGTTTTTGTGGAACAGCCAGAAGGCTGGTGTCATTGGATTGGGGAGCACATGGAGGTTAGGATGGGAGGGGAAGGTGTAAGAAGATGAGAAAGGTGAGGGAGGGTGTTAGGTTATGAAGGACCTTGAATGCCACCCAGAGGATTTTGTATTTGATTCTGGAGGTGATAGGGAGCCACTGGAGTTTATTGAATATGGAGGTGATGTGTACTTTCTGTATCTCATTTGAGCTTCACAACAACCCCGGGAAGTAGGTTCTTAGTCATATAACATTTGTTAAGCACCTACTGAGTTCCAGGCACTGTGCTAAGTGCTAGGGATATAAATATTAGGTGGGGGAGGGGAGGCAGCTCCTGCCTTCGAGGAGTTTGCAATCTCATGAAGGAAGACAGCACACAAAAGGAAGCTGAAAAGTGGGGAGGTGCAGGTGAGAAATGACATGGCTCCATCCTTCAGTCAGAGGGCAGAGGATGGTGATGAGGTAGTGTACCAAGGATGATGAAGTCTTACAAGATGATGAGGTTTCCCCAATAATGAGCTTCTAGGGGCATGGTAGAAATGTCCAGAGAAGTTCTGGTATCCTCATTTTGTTGTTTCTGAGTCATTTTTCAGCCATGTCTGACTCTTCTTGACCCCATTTAGGGTTTTCTTAGCAAAGTCATGGAGTGGTTTGCCATTTCCTTCTTCAGCTCATTTTACAGATGAGGAAACTGAGGCAAATAGGGTGAAGTGACTTGCCCAGGGTCACACGGCTAGTAAGTATCTGAGGCTAGATTTGAGTTCAAGGCTTCTTGACTCCAGGCCTGGTGCTTTCCCCACTATGCCACCTACCTACCCCCTACACATGAAGAAACTGAGAAAAAAGAGCAGTTAAACGGCTTACTCACAGTCACATAGTAAGTGTCTGAGATAACTTTTGTATGAGGATCTTTTAGACTCCCAAGTCTAACTGGTTGTCATACTTCTTCTACCAGGAAGACATTAGCTTAACTTATTTGTAGGAGTATTGACTTATAACCTGCCCTTGTCTCCATTGTACCTGGTGAACAGACAAGGAAAAATGACCTATAAACCGTCACAAGATATTTAGAAAGTGCTTTTTTTATGCAAAGTGTACTATGTTAGCTGTGGGGCAGCTAGGTGGTGCATTGGCTAGAGTGCCAGGCCTGGAGTCAGGGAGACTCATCTTCCTGAATTCAAATCTGGCCTCAGATACTTACTACTTGTGTGACCCTGGGCAAGTCACTTAACTTGGTTCACCTCGGTTTTCGCATCTGTAAAATGGGCTGGAGAAGGAAATGGCAAACCACTTCAGTAGCTTTGCTAAGAAAACCCCCAAAAAATTGAGTTATGAAGAGTCGGACATGACTGAAAACAACTGAACAACTATGTTAGTTATGGAGTAGTAACTTCCCAGAAGTTAGGAAACGACCTTTGCTCTCAAGGAATTTATTGGTGAACTGGGAATACAAGACATATCCAGTCCAATCCAGTAAACATTTATTAAGCACCTGCGATGTGCCAGTCACTGTGTTAAGAGCTGGGGATATGATTAATTAAAAGAAAGACAGTCTGCCCTCATCAAGCTTATAATCTAAAGACAAAACATTCTATTACATTTGAAAAGTTAATTAACAATAAACCAGAAGAGACTCCATCACAAGTCTGTGATTAATTGCCAATAAAATTAATTGCTGCCTCTTGAGGGTCAGCAAGGGCTTAAAGTTTTTTTTCTTTGGGTTCTCGCTTCCTAACATAGTCCCAAGCGCATAGTAGGAACATTTTGTTGTTGACTTGAATGGAAATGAATGGTGTGAACCACCAACATGGCAGCTTTACTATAATGACAAAACCTCAGGAGACCTGCATTCTAATCCAGCTCAACCACTGACTTACTGTGTAACCTGAGGCAAGGCCCATCATCCCTCTGGACCTCCTTAACATCTGGAGAATTGGACTAGATGGGGTCTCTGAGATTCCTCTAACCCTCTTGCATTTTTCTGATTCTGTGAGTGCTTTATATCCAGAAGGGGGGGTCAGTAACCAGTGCTAGACTCTAGTTACAGCCAATTTTTTCCCAGTTGTCCTGGAGCCTCTTAGATAGTGCCCTGCTTCAGTAGAGCTTGTGTTTCTTGATGGTCAGAAACAGCTCCAGTGTAAACCTGGGGGATAATGAAAGGCAACATGTCATGCCAAATAGGGTCTAGAACGTGGACACAGAAAGGCTGCTGTTCAAACCCTGCTTTGGACACGTAATGGCTGTTTGACTCTGGGAAAGTCACTTTCCCTCTCTGTGCCTCATTTGCCTCATCTGCAACATAAGGGAGTTGGGCTCAGTGACCTCCGAGTTTCCATCTAATTCTAAATCTGTTCTCCTGGGAGCCTGTGTCAGGGAGAGTTCAAGAAAAGACAGTACTATTGAGGGAGGATAGAACATCATTGTTGGCTTTGTAAAGTCACCAAGCTTATATCAGTCAATCAGTCAACATTTATTTAAGTGCCTACCATGTGCTAGGCACTATGCTAAGTGCTGGGGATACAAAAAGAGGCAAAAGACAGTCTCTACCCACAAGGAGCTTACAATCTAATGGGAGAGACAACATTCAATTCAATAAACATTTATTAAATGTCTACCATGTGCCAGGCACTGTGCTAAGTGCTGAGAATACAAAAAGAGGCAAAAGACAGTCTCTACCCACAAAGAGCTTATGGTCTAATGGGGGAAACAACATGCAAGCAAATATATACAAAGCAGACTATGTATAGGATAAGTAAGAAATAATTAAGAGAGGAAAGGCACTAGGATTAAGAGGGATTGGGAAAAGCTTCCTGAAAAAGACAGGATTTTAGTTAGGACTTAAAGTAAGCCTGTCCAGGAAGATGGAGGTCGGCTTGGTGTGGAGGGATGGAGGCAGGGAGACAGAGTAAGGTCTCCTTCCTTTTCAGTCCCTTGGCTCACTCTTTACAAGTCTTTAGTAGTGGGGCAGTGCCACAGGTGCCCACACCAGCATGGCCTGTGAACTCAAGGAGAACAAAACAGCTTACATATGAGATGACTCAAGTTTTCTAAAACAAGAAAATCTTAATTCAGGGCCAATGATGTAGGTAACTCAGGTCTCCTTTCTTGCCCTTGGGGAAAAACACTACATAAGCTTCCCAAGACTTGCTCAAGGAAAATGGAAATTTTTGGCTTGTGAAAGGCCTCAGGTTAGAGGCATAGTGGCAGCTTTGTGAGAGGCAGGTGGGCTAGCTGTAGGGAGTCGCTCTCATAGCCAGGAAAACCTGGTTCCCTTTCCTGCCTTTCCAGCATCCTGGCTGTATGACCTTAGACAAGTCACTTGATCTCTTAGGGCTCCAGGTCACAAGTGCTAAATACAACAGGCCAACCAGATTAAAATGGAATTGGAAAATACTTAACAAAGTAAACTAAAATACAATGAAATATAGGTGATGTTAATTTGTGGGGCTTATTTAAGTCACTATGCAACCCACAGGGATCCTTGTGTTAGGTTTATATGCCCCATTTTTATTTGCGTTTGACTCCGAGGCTGTAGGCAAGCAGTTCTAGAAACTGTCAAAGAAGTACAGATCTGTGTTGGTCAAGGGAGGTTTTTCATCCCGGTGTTCCTTATAGGAATGAAATCCCAGGTCCGGTTCTTGTCCCTAACCCTGTGTCTCCATCTTCTGGTCCTGAATGGGGTGGTGGGAAGGATCCATGACTCTGGCCTAGGGGATTGCTGTAGAATGCTTGCTTTGAAAATAGCAGGGAAGGGTGATTTGGGTTGTACCTCCTTCTTCCCCCAGGTCAATGGCACACTTAGGAAGACACCTCTGGGTGGAGCAAAGGTAAGACTGTTTGATAGGGCATGAGAAGAGGGCAAAAGGAGAAGGGGAAGGGAGAGAAGGAAGTCAAATAGTAGCTGGCGATTGGAATGAGGAAAAGACCGTGTTCTCTGAACCAAATCCATTGTAGCAGATTGCTCTTTTCGATAGTTAACATGTTTCAGGGTCAGAAAATACACGTGACTGCCCTGCAGGGACAGGTTTGATTTCTAGCAAGGCAGCTTTCTTCTTTAGAAGCCTTTCCTTTTCAATTTGAGTATCTGGGAATACCTAAAAAGCTATCATACAGAGCCATACTCTTTTCTTCTTCCTTCCCCACCAAAGGCAGGGAGACCTGAGCTCCCTAGAGAGAGAAGTTTCCTCCTGTCCAGGTTATCATTTCTCTCCTTCCCCTCACATTGAGAAGGTTGGAATGCAGGGTGCCTGAGGTAGCTTGTGGTAAGAACAAGTGTAATATGGAGGAAGGAACACTGGACCAGGGATCAGGTTCCCTCCCTTTCCCCCCAGCTTCTAGCTAGCTATATGGCCTTGTGTAAGTTATTTTTGCCGTACTGTGATTTGATTTCCTTACCTGTAAATTGGGTATAATGATATTTCTTAGATCTTTGGATTGGTCTTTTTTTGCTTTTTTTTTTAATTTTATTTTTAATTTCCAAATTTTCTACGTATTGAGAAGGCAAGAAATACAATACCCATCATCCACAGAGTTATTGGGATGATCAGATGAGAATAATAGTTGCATAACGATTAAGTGCTATATGAAAGCAAGATAAAATGTTTCTTTATGGTCTTACACTCATTACATTCATGGAGGTAACCCAAAGGTTCTGTCCATAGATGGCACTGACATAGGACATTAGCAAGCCCCCTACCAAGCTAGAAAGGCTTTGAGTATGGGTGGCTCAAAGTGACTCTGTGTTATCCAAAGATTAGACGGCCTAAGGTCAGAGCACATCATACAGTGTGAAAGCACGTACTTGCCATATTTACCATCCCGCCCTCTCTCTCCAGTCACCATCGCCACCTTGTGGCAATGTCATACTAAAATAGAAGAAGGAAAAATTATTGGAATAATTAAAAATTTTTCCCCCGTTCCTAAAGGACAGTCAGTGACTTGTCTAGAGTTATCCAGGAATCAGTACTAAAAATAAATAGGGCCTAAATTTAACAGTTCTCACTTTCTTCACCAGTCCCTTATTATTTAGAACAGAACAGTGATATAAGAAAGTCTTGGTATATTGTATGAGAGAGGGAGAAAGAAGTTAATTCCAAGTGAGTGAGAAATTGTGTTTACATCTAGTATGTTATTTCTGTTTTAAGTTTCATATTTGAGGGCTTAGGGTTGCGTTGTTTGTTGGTTGGTTGGTTGGTTTATTTTTGTCTTCTTATCTTGCCCATGCTGGAAGTATAGTGTCCATTAGTCAATTCAGTCCCATTACTGATCAGCATGGAAGATTTGACCTGGCTGGTCACCCCTTGCTTTAGTCAGCTTGCTAGCTTCCTATTCCCAGGAACTCATTATATTCGTTTCAGTCTTAGTGCAGACACCTACTCTGTTTAGCCTAAGACAGCTCAGAACTCCTGAACTCAATCAGTCCACCAGCCTCAGCTTCCCCAGTAGCAAAGATTACATAGGCTTGTGCTGCTGCAACAAGGTCTGATATTTGAGTCATAAGCATTTGTCCCAGAAAAGGACCAGGCAGTTGCTGCAATGCCAATTCGCTGGCTCCATGTCTCCCCGCGGGGTTGGGAGGTGCCCTAGAGGGCAATAGCACTGTACCGTCCAGCCAAGGGGAAGTAGGAGGGAGACCAAAAGGGCATGAGAGAAAACTTACAGAAATTATCTTATTAACTTTTCAAGCCTTGTTAGCAGTGGGAATCATGCTCCATCTGTATATTTCTGTATATATTAGAATACATCTTGGTATGGAAGAATACAGATCTTTGGATCGAGTTTTTTTTTTTTCCAAAAAAAAGTTTTTACTTTCCAAATTCTCTATCTATTGAGAAGGCAAGAAATATAGTACCCATCATACATAGAATATAAATCTTTGTGGGATTTTTCAAATTTTATTTTGAGTTCCAAATTCTCTCCCTCTTGATCCCTCCCCCACCCATTGAGAAGGCAAGACATATGATACCTGTTATATGTAGAATATAAATTTTACAATGAAAAGGCAAGGGAACTTATTTTTACAATGCTCTTGCTAAGCAAAGTGGGAGAATCCAAATCTAGGGGCCTGCCTGTGTTGATGGTGAACCTGCCAAGAGCAGTAAAAAGAACCAGGGAAGAGAGAAAAACATCTTCCTTAACCTAAAGTCCCAAGACTGCAGAACCCAAATTTGTGGAACAAGACTTTGAGCTCCTGTGAAGGAGAATGGAGGCCATGTACTGCTTAGAATTTCTTCTTTCTTAGCACCTCTGTTCTGTTCCTCAATAAATATGACATTTGGGGATTTTCTGCCCTTTTCCGTTTTGTTATCTTTGCCCTTTTGTGACCAGACGAGTGAGGAAGAGGAGGATATAGAAGATGATGATGACTTGGAAGAAGACAGCAAGTCCACAAAGGAAGATGACCCCGATGTGCAGAAGTCCCCAGATCCTCCCCCAATCACGCTGGTGGCGCCCATAGACCTGCCAACGCTTCAGAGCCTTACGCCCTCCTCAATCTCCTTTGTCTGTGAAATGCCAAACTGTGGTTCTGTAAGTGTCTTTCAGTGTTAATTGAGCAGCTAGTGTTGGGGTGGGGGTAGAGGGGAAAGGGGAGCTCCTGGAAAGATTTAGTACAAATCACACTTTTGCAAGCGGGATCCCATGTGCCCACTGCTTCTCTGGATCATTGTTTTGTGGCTGCTTTAATTACATTTGTGGTAGATCTTCAGTGACCAGTGGCTTCTGACACTTGTTCAGTTGTTTTAGTTGTGTCCAACTCGTCATGACCCCACTCGGGTTTTCTTAGTAAAGATACTAGAGTGGTTTGCCATTTCCTTCTTCAACTCATTTTACAGATGAGAAAGCTGAGGCAAACAAGGTTAAGTGACTTTCTCAGGGTCACACAGCTAGTAAGTGTTTGAGGCTGGATTTGAACTCAGGTCTTCCTGACTCCAGGCTTGGTGCTGCATTCACTGCGCCACCTAGCTATATACATTTAATTGCATAAGGAAGTCACACATATTAAAGAATACTGGAAAAGAACCCTTTTTGTAAAGTATAATGGGAATACTCACCCCCTCATTTATGTGGGTTGCAAGTCTGGGTTGTCCTGTTTTTTTCCTATACTCATATATATAGGAATAGGGATATTCGGATAGAGAGATAGAGAGATGAGATGCTCTATACATCACTCTAGTTACATTCTTACATGTGATACATATATGTGTACTATATGTATACACACTATATGTGCATATAATAAAACAGTATATGATTTTATTATATGCAGTGGATGTATATGTACACATGTGTATGTTTTATTACACATGTATGTACATCCATACAATGTATATGCATACTTGTGTGTATGTGTATATATGCATGTGTCTATGTAGGAATATTCCTATATTCCTCAAAGTTTTGAATCCTGTTAATTTGAAATTTGCTAAAATTGAGACAGACTTGGTGGCAGTGTTCTTTGACCCTGTCTACTCTGCCCTGCCCACCCCCCCAAAAAAAGGATTTTCTAAGCCAAAGAGTGCCATAAACAAGATCAGAAGAGGGATGTGTGTGTGGGGGGTGTGTGTGTGTGTGTGTGTGTGTGTGTGTGTGTGTGTGTGTGTGTACCATGTAACAGAACAGATTTCCTCTCCAGCATCATTTATTTCACGTAAAATGAATATGACATTCACAACTGTTCCTTAAAGCAGGGTCCCAAAGGATCTCTAACTGAACACTGTTAGCTTAGTTTGAGTTACTTTGAATGCCTAACTTCGGTGCTGTAAGTATTTACTATTTAAAACTATTAAGACTGATCTTATTTTGTAAATGGTAGTGATTGAAGAGTGAATCGTTCCCTCCCTCTTCCCCTCCTTCCCCACCTTGGACCTGACCATTAGTCTGAATTAAGAGCATTTTCCTTAGTCAGATTTCCTGAAGCTGGAACCCGCCAGTAGAGGTTGTGCCTAGGAGGGCCATCCCACGTCTCCAGGAATTGGACGTTGCTCTTTCTCTGTACTGGTGTGAAGAACCGGGCATCTCATCTAGCTTTCTTCAGGCTTATATCTTTCACAGGATGGTGCGGTTTCCTAAGGTGTAAAAGAAGGCTCCTTGCTAGAACGAACTGCACATCCCTTGGATGAAACCAGGAGTATTTCTTATTGAAATACTAATCCAGAACCTCACTCAATTCATATGCAATGAGATGACATAGGATCATAGATTGAGTGCTCAAAGGAATCTTTAGAGGTTGTCTAGTCCAACCCCCTTATTTTGCAGGTGAAGAAATTGAGGCCCAGAGAACTTAAGTGACTTCTTTAAGGCCACATAGAAGATAGTAAACATCTGAGGTGAGATTTGAGCCTAGATGTTCTAGACTGGGCAGCTAGGTAGTGTAGTGGATAGAGCATTAAGTCTGGAGTTAGGAGGATCTGACTTCAAATCCAGTCTCAGACTCTTACAAACTCTGTGACCTTGAGCAAGTCACTTAACCCCTATTTGCCTCAGTTCATCATCTATAAAATGGGGATGCACTGGAGAAGGAAATGGCAAGCCACTCCAGTATCTTTGCCAGGAAAACCCCATGGCAGAGTTGGACATGACCGGATAACTTCTGGATTTCAGTTCAAGTACACCATACCTCCTCTCTAAGAGAATTAGGTTAAAAAAAATTAAAAATACGAGAGACTTGAAAGCAAAGACTAAAATGTCAAGATGTTGTATCTGTCTTTATCATTTAGTGACCTGGAATTCTCATGGAGATATTTTGGGGCTCTGTGGTTTGATTCTGGGATGATGAACCCTCTGTGTCTTTTTCTATTAAAAAAAATTAATTGTTTTATTAAAAACTTAACCCTGGGCATTGATACAACCAACCATGTTTTTATAGTAATCATTTGCATTTAAATGAATTTCAATGCATAAAGTATTTTTCAGCCACTTCGAAACCTTCATCAGGATTCTTAGGTCATTATTTTTTCCTTTTATATGGATGCAATTAGTGTGTGTGTGCCATTCTTCTGACTCTGCTTTGTTTGCTTTATGTTATTTCATAAAGGTTTTTCCAGATTTGTTTATTTCTCATATTTACTGTTCTTAAATGCACTGGAGAAGAAAATGGCAAACCACTCCAGTATCTTTGTCAAGCAAACCCCTAGTGGGGTCATGAAGAGTTGGACACAACTGAAATGACTAAACAACAAATTCCATTACAGTAATACATTGACAACCATTATACCATTTGTTGAACAGTAAGGTTGTTTCTAAATGTGTGTGTGTGTGTGTGTGTGTATACACATTTTTATATGCATTTGATTGTGTGATTTCATATATCTTACATATGAGAATCTAAGGAGAGTGAGCTCCTGTATATTTACATACACATAATAAGTTGAGGATATAGTCTCAACAACAGAATTAGTCAAAGGGTATGATTATTTTTATGATGCTTGTGTATACCTAGATTGCTCTCTAGAAATAGTGTTCGGTATTGATAGAAATAGTTTTCAGTTATAAATAAGCAATGAGTGAGTTTTCCTGTTCCCCTCCAACCCCTTCAGCATTAAGTTTTGTTGCTTCTAATAATACTTTGCCAATTTGAGAGATGTGTGGTAGCACTGTAGAGGTGTTTTAATTTGCATCTCTTAAATTACTAATGAAGTTAAGCATTTTTTTCAAATGTTCATTAACAGTTTGTGTTTTGAAAATATCATTTGCTCATATCCATTGATCATTTATCTAATGTGGACTGGGAGTTACCACTGACTTTTTATTATTTCCTTATCTGTACCTTCAAATGTCAAATCTGTCATATATGGCATGGCATTTAAATTTCGATCTCTGTGACTTTTTTTTCTTTTTTTAGAAACCGGGTGTTTTTTGTAATGTTTTTATGGTAAAATTTTGAGTGGGTGTGTTTCTTCTTTGTTTTCTTTTCTGTTGTCAGAAATACCTACCGAAGTGACATTTTTTCAGTGATTAAAAGCTTCATGTGGGCAAGGTATCATCTTATCAGCCTTTATTCCCTCACATTCAGTGATGGAGACTGAGGCTAACCTCTCACTGGCTATGAGACCTACTTTTAAATCTAACACAGGGTGATCCAATGAGATCATGTGTGTAATGTACTTTACAATCTTTGAAGCCCTCCAAATGAATAAAAAAGCATTTATTAAGTGTTCACCATGTACAAAGCCTGGGGATACAAATAAAAAAACAAGACAGTCTTTGCCCATAAGAGCTTATGTTCTTTTTTTTTTCAATCAATAAACATTTATTAAGCACATACTATGTACCCAGCACTATGTTAAGAACTGGGGATACTAAAAGGGGTCAAAAGACAGTCCTTGCCCTTAAGGAGCTTACAATCTAATGTAACTTAAAAAAAGAAAGAAAGACATTCTTGTAACAAATATGCATAGTAAAACAAAACAAATTCCTGCATTGTTTATATACAAAAATGCGTATGTCTCATTTTGTATCCTATTTATATCACCTCTCTGTCAGGAAGTTATAAGGCTAAAAGAGCTTACGTTCTAATAGGAGGAGACAATATTCATAGGAAAGTGGTGGGTCAAAGGGAGTACTTTGGTATGGAAGTTACAGGAGTGGTTAGTGTAGCTATAGGGAAGTCCATTGACATATACCTTCCAGCAGCAGTAACAGGGCTGATTTGATCATGGTTCTAAGAGCTGAAAACAGGAATGGTGGCAGGGGGAGAAAATTGACAGGGAATAGGGAATAAAGTGAAGCATGGCTGGTAGCCTGCCTGAAATTGTTGGCCAGAAAAGGTGCATCAGTACAACCTTACTGTCCAACAAATGGTATAACGGTTGTCAATGTATTACTGTAATAGAATTTGTTGTTTAGGCCTTTTAGTTGTACCTAATTAGTACAACAAGCCTTTATGGTGGAAATTTAAAAGATAAATGGGTTAAAACCTTTCTGCCTTATGAGAAGATGGAAAGTCTCTACATGTTTGGGGCTCTGTATGAAATAGTGGGCCAGGGAGTACAGTCACTAGTGTGGTCAGCAGGGTTCCAGGGCAGAAGTTTTGGAGAGGAAAGGGTTAGAATCTCCAGGGTGCTGTTTGTGGTCCTGATTGAGAGAAGATGACCAGAGAGAAGAGAGCAAAGTCTACTCACTCCCGTGCTGGAAATGAATAGATTCCAACTCTTTCCAAAGCCTTGAGCAGAGTGTACTTCCAGATCTAAGAGTGTTCCTAGGAAACCCAGCATTTTCCTCCAATGTTAGCTATTACTTACCATTATTAATAATATTTTCAAGACTGTAGATGTCACGTATGCTCCCTTTCTTACCCAGGTGTTCAGCTCTCGGCAGGCATTGAACGGCCATGCCCGCATCCACGGTGGCACAAACCAGGTGGCCAAAGCCCGGTGCTCGGTTCCCCCTGCAAAGCAGAAACAAGGTGCCCAGAGCGGCTACTGTTCCGTGAAAAGCTCACCAGCTCACAGCACAGCAAGTGGTGAGACCGACCCAACCACTGTCTTCCCCTGCAAGGAGTGTGGGAAGTAAGTAAGGCGAGGATGAATCCTCTCATTGCACTGAATTCAGTTTTCATTGTTCAGTAAGACCCTAGGTTAAGAAGGCATGTGCTTTTCAGCCAGGAAAGAGGAAGGCTGAGTCAGGCTCACATTTAAAGTCAGCGAATAATCTTTTAAAATTTTGTTTCTAAAATTTTTATTGATGCTATTTGTTGTTCCTTTACATTCATTTGTTGTTCTTTTACATACATTTCTAGATCTATCCCTCTTTCCCTCTTCATACTCAGTAGGCTCATGCTATATGACAAATATTTTTTAAAAGAAAGGAAAACAGCAGTTTTGCAAAACAAACTGTCTTGGCCATCTCTGATAGTACAGTCAGTATTCCACACTCCCATGTGGTTGCATAGTAAGGCCTGAATAAGGAAGTCCTGAATTTTTCCAGCCTCAGATGCATACTAGTTGTGTGACCCTGGGCAAGTCACTTAACCTCTGTTTGCCAACTATAAAATGGGGATAATAGTAGCACTTACCGTGCTGGATTGTTGTGAGGGTCAAATGAGGTAGTATTTGTAAAGGGCTTAGCACAGTGCCTGGCACATGAAAGGTGCTATAGAAATGCTTATTCCTTTGTCTATCTCTGCACTGAAGAGAGGGAGGTTCCTTATCTCCTTCTTCAGGGTCTCACTTGGTCTTTATAATTAGATACCATTCAGTTTTTTTGTTTGTTTGTTTTTTGTTTGCTTTTTGCTAGGCAATCGGGGTTAAGTGACTTGCCCAGGGTCACACAGCTAGTAAGTGTCACGTGTTGTGTGTCTGAGACCGGATTTGAACTCAGGTCCTCCTGACTCCAAGGCCAGAGCTCTATCCACTGCACCACCTAGCTGCCCCTGATACCGTTCAGTTTTATTCATTGTCAGCTAACATTAATTATGCACAGAGCATTGTGCTAGACTTACCAAGAGAAAGGTAAGGACTAATCAACTGTAGTTCTTGCTCTCAAGGAGTTTTTCATCTAACGGTGGTGAAATACAACTGGTAGACAGATGTGTATAATAGAAAATAAGGCATCCCGAATGTAGGAGGTGAAAGGATTTTTGTTAGTTCAGAAGAAGGAAAGCTCATTACTGCTGACTAAGGAATCTAGGAAGACTTCATGGAGGGGCCTAGGGAGGGGTTTGAGTTTGGCCTTGAAGGATTGTAGCGGGCAGTGGTGAGGTAGGCTTGGAAGAAATGGGGACAGACTATTCCAGGCATCGAGAACAATGAGAACGGAGCATGGAGGCAGGAAAGGGCAGGCCATGTTGAGGGGCCAGTAAGGAGTCCAGGATCTTTGAAGTTCAGGGTGTGGCTTTGGTTGGATCAGGATAGTCAGTGATAAGACTGTAAAGGTGAGAAGGCCACAGATTGTTGAGGGCCTTGAATGCCAGATGGGGGATCATAGAGTGGTGAGGGGAACACACAGCTCATGTTTACCAAGCACCTTAGCACTAGGCCCCACCTTGAGAGTTGCGAAGGAGGTAGTTTTGGGCTACATGAAAAGTCATAGGGTATTTCTTTGTGAGTAGACCCATGGGATTTGTTACTCCCAAGAGAGAGTGTCATTTAAGAACGGCAACGAACTACAGAGGACTTTAGATGAATTCAAAGAGTTAGTTTCATCATGAGAAAGGTACGTTTGGGTTATATCCTTGATGTCTGGAGGTTGGTACCAAAATGAACAATGGACCTAACATGCTCTTGGGTCAAATGGACTTTAAATTTGATCCAGGGAGCAGTTTGGTGTTACATGTACCTGGCTGGCGGGGGTGGGGGGTGTCGGGGGTGGGAGGTGTGGAGGGTGGGGTAGAGGGAGTCTCAGGATTCCAGGAACGGACCTCTTCAGTCAGAAGCCGCCCAGCCTGACTCCAGATTTGGCATGAGTGGGAAAATCCCAGGATGGGCCTTGGGCTGAATGGGATTTGGGCTTTCTCTTTCCCATTCATGCTCCAGCCCATCTGTGTTCACTCAGGTCATCATCAACTTCGCGAGAGTTAGCATAGGCCACCTAGTCTTGTCAGCTGTGAGAACCATTCAGGGAAAATATTGATGATGAAATAGGGGCAGGGGGAATGAATAGTAGGGAGGGCAAGAGGCAAGGAGATTAAAAGTAGTAGAAATTATTAATTTTCTCACTCTACGGTGCTCAGGATGGTACCACTGCTTCCTAGGGGAGACCCCTGCCCCCCTCCACTTCTGGATACCTAGAATTGTTAGGAATTACTTCAAGCCTAAATCTGCCTCTGTAATTTCCACCCAGTTTTCCTCATTATGTCCAGTAGGACCAAGCAGATTAAGTCTACTTCTTCTTCCACGACACTTCAGATGTGTGGAAGCATTTATTATATGCCCCCTTTCCCACATTCTTCTGGTCTTCTGGCTAAACATCCCCAGTTCTTTCAGCTGATCTTTGTATGTGGTCTCAGGCCTTCACCATCCTTGCTGCCCTACCATAAATGATCTCCAACTTATCAATGTCCTTCCTAAAATATGGCACCTAGAATGGAAGACAGATGTGGTCAAAGCAGGGCAAAGTGTACAGTTAAACTCCCTAGTCTTAGACAGTATACACCTCACTTAGGCAGCCTAAGGCATCTTAGATGACATCTCACTCATTTGACTTATTAAACTTATAGCTTACTAAAACCCCCCAGATTTTTTTTCTGTCTAACCTGTGACCCCCATGTCAAGTTTATTATTTTGGAAACAATATACAACTTTACATTCGACCCATTAAATTTCATCTTTTTAAAATTGGCCTGTCAAGAGCTTGAATTCTGATTTCGTCATCTAGTACGTTAGCTGTAGTTCCTGGGTTTGCATCATCTACAGATCTGATCACCCTGCTATCTGTGTGTTTAACTTAATCATTGATAGAAATGGCAAACAGGGTAGGATCAAGCTCAGATCACTGGGGCACTCTGCTGGATACCGCCTAAGTTGGACTCTTGCCATTAATGATGGCATTTTGGATCCGGCTGATTGGCTAATTCTGCCTATCTTTACTGGAGTCCAACTGCATTTCTCCACCTTTTACACAAGAATTACAAGAGGCATTGTCAATTAGTTTGCTAAAATCAAATGTAACTAAATGTACCACATTTTGTAGAGCCACCAACTAGTAGCCCTATCCAATAAATGAAATGAAGTTAACCTGTTCTTTATCTTTTTATTTTAAAAAGTTATGGTTTATTATTTTCTTTTATATCACTTATTTCCTTATATAATCCCCCAACACAAACACACCTCCCTTGTAACAAATACCAAGTAAGTGAAAACCAACTGATAGGATGACCATCTCGAAGAACATATGAAACATTTTTTACCCATAATTCCCTAAAGGAATTATGAACTATATTCTGAGACAAAGATTGTTGATTACAAATAATGAGTTCAGCTTCCTAGTAACACGATTTTCATTTATGTTCTTGTGCATATTGTTCCTCTGGTTTTGCTTTCTTCAGTCTGGGCCAGTTCATACAAGTCTTCGTATGTTACTCATAGCATATGACCTAATTTAACTAAAGACAGCTAGATTGTTGTTGCATTGTTTCAATCATGTCCCCATTTTTTTGTGACCCCATTTTGGAATTTCCTTGGCAAAGATACTGGGGTGGTTTTCCATTTCCTTCTCTAACTCATTTTACAAATGAGAAACTGAGGAAACAGGGTGAAGTGACTAGCCCAGGGTCACACAGCTAGTAAGTATCTGAGGCTGGATTTGAACTCAGGAAGATGAGTCTTCCTGATTTCAAGCCCAGTGCTGTATCCAGTGTGCCACTAGATAGTGCAGTGAATAGCATTGGACTCGAAGCTTAGTAAGACCAGAGTTCAAATCCAGTCTCAGACACTTACTAGCTCTGTGATCCTGGGCAAGTCATTTAACCTCTGCCTGCCTCAGTTTCCTCTTCTACTAAATAAGGTTAATAATAGCACCTACTACCCAAGTTTGTCATGAGGATCAAATGTGATAATATTTGTAAAGTGCTTTGCAAACCTTAAAACTTTCATTATTAACTATGGCCTTTACTTTATAATGTCTATTACTTTAAGAGACTGGATTTAATTTGTCATCTCTGTAACAAAGCAACCTTTTCACTATTGTTGTGGTTCTCCCATGATGGAGGCCTGAAAAATAAAGGACAGGAATTGACTGTGAGCTGTGTCTAAGGGTGGTAGCTTTCTACAATACAGTAAAGACCGTCAAAGAGAAGTCTTTATTTGAGTGACCCAAGTGCACTGAGAAGGACTCCCAGGTTTGGGCCCGTTTTTCTCTAAAAAGGTCAAATGTCTTAATGGCTGGAGGCATGTCATATTTTCTATTTGAAGTATTTATCATAACTAAAATAATAATAACAATAATAATGGAGAAGGCAGTATGATGTAAAGGATAGAGCCAGCTTTGGAGTCAGGAAGACCTGGGTTCAAGTCCTGCCTTTGGCATATACTAGCTCTGTCCCAAGAGGCAAGTTTCAGTGCTTTGGGCAACTCTCCAAGATGATAAGTTATAGTGTGAGTTGTTGATCTTTGTCAGTGGAGGGAGTTTCCATACTGAGAGATTTCCCCACCTTGTTAAAATCACAGGCCTGCCTCAGAATGATATGTTAAAGTTTGCAAAGTGCTTTTACCTTTGTTTTCTCATTTGAGCCTTCCAAATCATTCTGTGAGGGAGGGTCTTTGGGTTTCATTTTCTCCATCTTACAGATGAGGAAACAAAGACCCAGAGAATATGATGGTTATGTTGCTAGTGAGTATCAAAGGTGGGATGTAAAACCATCAAGCCCAGCGCTCTGTTCACCCTACTGCCATCAATAAAGACAAATAATCAAATAAACGTACAAAAATAAGGAATAAAATCTGGATCTCTTAGCATTTAGCAGAGCAGAGTCAAACAGATGAACAGATAATAAACAAAGAAGTGCATTCTGTCTGCCCTCGTTTCATGTTTTGCCTTTGTTTTTATTTTTTAGATAAGTACTCAGAGTCAGTGTCTACACAGTTCTGGTGCTGTTGATAGCACATTAGCACTTCAGATAGGTCTCGTTGTATTAATAATCCTTTTCTTTTTTAAAGGGCACATATGTAGTGGCCTTGACTAGAGTATTCTTTCTTCTTTTTCTCCTTTTAGCTCTTCTTATCCTTCCAGAGGGGGACAAAGGACACTTTTAGTGACATTATCCAAAAAAACTTATTTTTGACCTTCAGGTGGTTGTACGCCTTTCGTTATTGTGGTCTCTGATGTTAGGTTGTTACCACCATGTGCCCTGAACACAGAACCAGCCCCCAACCCAGACCACACCTCCCTGATTCCCAACACATTTTAGTCCCATTATTCCCTGCATGTCCGCTGCTTTGTCTACAGAAAAAGAAAGCAAAGAGGAAGGTAAAAGAAGAGAATAGAAAGTGGGGGAGGGAGGAGACACTTCAGAGCTCAGAAATAAAGGGCCTTTTAAACACCCTCCCCCACCACCACAAAGGAGAACTTGGAGATCCTCCCCATCCTGTAAAGCAGCTGTGGTAGAGTAGAAAGAACCCTGGGTTCTAGACTCAGCTCTTCCATTGACTACTCCTTTGCCCCTAGATGCACAGCTTTCTGGGCTTGAGTTTCCTGCTTGATGAAGAGGATAGAATTAGATTTCTGATACACACACCTCCCTTCAGCTCTAATACTTTAGGATTCCAAGATTCTAAGGCAGCACTTCAAGTACTGAGTATTGGGAAAATCTAGTCTTTAAAAACAAAAAAAGATTAAAAAAGAAGAGTTTTATTGATGCCTCTTCTTTAGACAACCCTGTCATTTCTGAATGAACTCCCCACTCTACTCATATTGGCTACTCTCTTATAACAAAGAGAAAAACAAGTAAACAAAAATAATTAATACACTGACCACACAGGTAGCACCAGCAGCGTGGTATGGTGGAAAGAACACAGGATCTGGAGTCAGTAAGCCACAGGTTCAAATTCCATCTCAGATCCTTGGGATTGTGTATAGAAAGCTAGAAGAGACCTCAGAGTCTCCAGCATGTACTGCAGCTTCCTCATTTTATGTGTGAGGAAACCAAAGTCCAATGAGGCGCTTTGACCAAGGCCACAAAGGTAGGATGTTAGTATGCAGGTCCTCTGATTACCCAGCCAATGTGTTTTCTACTACACCGTGCAAGGCCAGTTAACCTCCCTGGGCATCTGAGGTCCCATCCCACCTCTAGATGTGTGACCCTGTAATGGATGCAGTATTCTGTTCACCATTCCTCCTGCTTAGAGACTGACAGGACAAGCTGTGGTGTACTGTTGTGATGGAATACTGTTGTGTTATGAGAAATAGTGGAAGAGAAGGGAAAAGTGGTTTCAGAAAAATCTGGGAAGACGTCTATGCATTGATGATAAGTGAAGCCAGCAGAACCAGGAGAACATTGTGTGCAGTGACAGTGATCAACCGTGAAAGGCTTAGCTATTCTAGTCAATGCTGTAATCCAAGACAGTTCCAAAGGACCCATTTTAAAAAAAAAATGCTACCCACCTCCAGAGAGAGAATTAATGAACTCTGGGCACTTTTTTTCTCTAGCCTTTTTTTTTTTTTTTTTTGGTAACATAGTTATGTTAATGGAAATATATTTTGCTTGACTTCGTGTATAATTGATATCATATTGCTTGCCTTCTTAATGGTTGGGGGAGGGACTGGAGGGAGGGAGAGAATTTGGAACTCAAAATTTTAAAAAATGAATATTAAAATATAAAGTATAATTTTTTTTTAAAGAGTCCTCCTTCCTCTCTGCTGAGAAAAGGGAGGTAAGGAAAAACCTAATCTCTTTGTGAACCTCATCAGCCTCTCTGTGTCTCTCTTGTATCACAGGGTGTTTTTCAAGATCAAAAGCCGTAATGCCCACATGAAGACACACAGACAACAGGAGGAACAACAGAGGCAAAAAGCCCAGAAAGCTGCAGTCGCTGCCGAAATGGCAGCCGCTATTGAGAGGACTACTGGGCCGGTGGGACCTGGGCTGATTCCCCTGGACCATCTGAGCTTAATAAAGCATGTGGAAGATGTTGACATTCTCGGTGATGATGTCGTCCAGGAGTTGGGAGGTGTCATCGAAGAGACTGAAGTGGTGGACACAGACCTGCTCTTGGACGATGACACCAGTCTGCTGCATGGTGACACAGAACTGTAAAGAATCATGTCTCCCTGAGAGACAGTTCAGGCCCTTGGCGCTCGCCCTTACTGGTCAGGAACCCATGACTGTCTGCATTGTTTGCAACCATTTTAAACTATCTGTTTTAAAAAAAGAGTTCCTTTTATTCAGATCCAAAAAAAAAGAAAGAAAAAGAAAAATCTTTATTTTTTTCCCTTTTTTAAAAAAAATTTTTTTGGGGGGTGGGAGGAAAATAAATAATTGGCACAAATATCTTTAAGAAATGTTTCATCTGGGTTATGTTCTCATGAGTTTACTCCTGACAGCTAGTGAAGGTGGGCCTGATGTTTCCATCTCCATTTTCCCCCAGATGTTTCATGGGAAAGATTTCAAGTCTCAGGCATCAAGTTCACATTTTACCCAAAGCTTCTCATGTCCCTCGAGGGCACTACAGATTTAGGTTGGGGACTCGGGCCATGCTTTGCCAGGCAATGCAAGAGTCCACGTTCCATTGTTCCACTACATCTTTACAACTGGATGCAGTGGTAGTAAATTGGGCGAAATAGGCCCTTTTCTGTCCTTGTTCCTTCATACACATCCTTGGATAAGTTGAGCCAATGTGAATGAAGGTCCATCTTCACACTGCCTTTCTTGTAAATGGTGGTTCTTTTTACAGGAATCAAAGTGCTATGTGTTCTCAGGCTTCTCTCCATCAGGGTTCTTAATAAGGCAGTAGTTTACCATTCCCCCAGGTGGGAGAACAGAGCTAATGCTTCTGTGGGTGGAGCCCACTTGGGATTAAAATGCTGCTTGTTAGGAGGGTCACATTTGGTGACCCTGACCTCACTGGTGACAGCTACTGTGGTGTTAGAAGGGGTGAGGGGGATCCCAGGCTACATGCCTACTAGAAGTATGAGGTATACTGATATAGCGGGTTGGGAGTTCTTCCATTTGTAGGGAGGGAGAGAGAGTAGTGGAGTTCCTAAGGTAAGGAGTTGTCTTAGGAAACAGGCTTTACTTTGTAGAACGAGGTAGCTGATAGGAGGTCATATTCCTTTTAATACCATTGTTCATACTCAACAGGGGAGCCCAAAACAAGACCTTGTGCCGTTTAGAAGTACTGTGAAAACTCATTAGAACTTAGCTTGGACTCACAGATGCTGGATTGAAGTTTACCTCTGCACTAACTATGGGATGGGGAAGGGTTTGTCAAGCCAACAAGTGGTCATAAACAGGGAAATACTGAGTGAAGAAGGCCCATGGTGATTCCACCACACCCCTTTGGCCACGGTGTTCTAGCATTCAAACCCAGAATATGCTTAGTGTGAATGATTTACTAAAGTAATTTTTGGGGTTCTCTCAAGACACAGCTGGGCTCTTCCTTCCCTTGACCCTGACAGCAGTGTTACTGTGCATACTTGAAAGTAATAAATCTTCAATTCTTTTACAAGTAGTTTATATTAGCTCAGATACTTTTCCACTTCAGACAAGACAGACTGTCTTCCGCTATACTTGGGGAAACTAGAGAGGTTCCAGGATTGGGATCTAATCTGGTGGAGAACGGTGTTCTCACAGACAACCACTGTAAAGTGAATGCCATGTGACTTTTTAAACCTTTTTCGAGGCTTCTGGCCTTCTTCCCACCCATAATCTCTCATTCTCTGTCTCTGAGGACCCTGGTTTCTTGCGCTGATCCAGTGAGTGACATACCCCATCAGTGGCTTGGAATTGGATAGGATTAGAGAAGGAGTGAGGGGGTTTCAGGAGAGAAGAACCTGGTCAGTTTTCATAGTGGCCTTTCAACATCCTCCAGCGAACATCCCTCCGGGAAAAGGCCAGCTAATGTCTTCCATCACACAGGCAGCTCAGCCTCACTCCTGGCTTATGCACAAAAGCCTCAGAGCAGAATGACAAGAATAATTATAAGCAAATGAACAAATGAGCCTCGTTTCAATCAATTTGTGCTTAAAAAAATGGAATTTCCTAGTTTCCCTCTCCCTCTGCTTAAAATATATATATATATATATAGTTGTATGTCACTCATTGTCATTTCAGATGGGTTTTGAAGCCTCAAATTTCATGCATCTTTTAAATGAACTTTTTTTTGCATGTTTTGAGGGGTTTCTGGCAGCCTCCCCTATGTATTACAAAACTATTCAACCCAGGACCTTCCATGTCATGGGTGTGATGGTTGGACTCCCAGGCCAGTCATGCCCCTGAGTAAATAGAGCCCCAGATTTAGTAGGATGGTTCTAGGGTAGCCCTGTTTCTGGGTCCAAGGTCACAGCAATCTCTGGGATCTGAAAGTCTGTTTGTCAAACATAAAAAACATACAGAGTTTATAAACAGTTGGTGCATTCCTTCTATTGAGACGATGACCCACGTGTCCCAGTTTTTAACATTAAAGAGACAAAACTCAGAAGGCACAATTTTGTTTAACTTTCTACTTAGTTCCACATAATACTATTGATGTTAAATAACCAAAGAATTTTCCCTTCACAGACAGATGGTTCCAGTTCCTGAATTCGTATTTCCTGATCACTTATACATAAAAGAATCAAATTCATATTAAAAGAATGCACTTACTTTCTACTTTTACTTTTCCTTAAGAAAAAAAAATATTCTGCCTGCATCAATATCTTGTTTTGGCTTCTTCCCCCTCCAAAAAAACAAAACAAAACAAAACAATAAGCAACACTTTTCACTTTTAATGGTTAATGTCTTCAACAAGATTGATGTTTACTCTCAGATGTTTTCACTAGTGAATCTAGTCCTCTTTGAGAAAGCTTGTACAGAAAAAGTTAACAGATATATTTTATGGAAAAAAAAGCCCATCTTATTTTCAGATATATTTAACTGCTGTTATATTTTATTAGCAGAAGGGTGTAAATATTTTCTAGGAGTTCTATTGTAAAGAAGAGTATTTTTGAAAAAAAAAAGTTTAATGTATTAAAAAGGAAAACAACATTTTAAAGCTGTGGTTACGTTCGGTTCCTGTTATTACTTCCTGATGTTCTGTTCTCAACGGCTCGCTTGCATGCCTTCTCTTTGCTGGATGTAATTTATTCGGGTTTGTGCCATTTTTGAGTTTGATTTCATGATCTTTGGTGTGTTCGGCTGTATTTTCCCAGCATGCAGTATACTTGGTACATTGCCAAAGCGCTTTGTATGACATATTCATAGTATTTCCTTTTGTGATGTGTTGTGTTTGTGTGTGTGTGTTTTTTTTTAAAGAAAGAAAAATAAAGAACTTTATGTCTCATTTCAGCCAAAACAGAACAGTGTTTTCTAGTGAGTTTTATAATTACATTTTGCTAAAGATGTTCCTGGATATTTTTCTGTTTTTGTTAAGGCAAGCCAAAATTCTTTTAAATGGCTAAGGCTTGCTTTTTTTTTTAAGGTTGAGGTTGGAAAGGAAAGTTATATATAAACATCATATGTAACAAGTAAAGATAGTTTATAGACTTATCCTTTAAAAAGGTGCATTCCTTAAAAGGTAGGGGTTCTAGGACTTATTTTAACCTAGAGGCAGGTTTTTGCAATTTAAAAGAAATGACCATAGTATTTTCAGAGATGCCACACTTAAAGAAATGATAACTCCTCAACATTTTGATGGATTTTCAGAGATAACTAAGAACACAAAACCTTCGAGGTCTAATCAGTAACCTCCAAATGTACATTTACATGGAGGTGGGGATTGGGGAGGGTATGGTGGTTCTCTTATTATTTGTATTAGCTCCCTGGCATTATGTGCCTGATGGTGGGGCAAGCATGGCAATATTGTTGGACTATTGGAGAGAAATTTTTTGTCATTCAGTCATTTTTCAATTGTGTTCAACTTTTCATGACCCCATTTGGGGTTTTCTTGGCAAAGATACTGGAATGGTTTGCTATTTCCTTCTCCAGCTCATTTTACAAATTGGGAAAACAGAAATTTCCAGAGGCAGACAGGGTTAAGTGACTTACTCAGGATCACACAGCAATTAAGTGTCTGAGGCCAGATTTGAACTCGAAGATGAGTCTTCCTGACTCCATGCCCAGCGCTCTAGCCACTGTTCCACCTAGCTGGAGAGAAATTTGGGGCATACCCAATAACTGGAACTACATCGAACAGCTCTGTGTGACTCTCGTATGTTACTAGTAGCGTGTCATGGAATATCATGGCTGATGGCTGCAACCAGACAAACATCTGGAAAATGCCTTGGTACAAAATACAAAAGGTATCCTCCTGGAAAGGCTTCTTTCTCAGGTTCAGGAGCCTCATCTTGGAAAAGGGCAAGATCATCTAAGTCAGTGGTTCTTAAATTCTCTGATCTCAGAAAGCCCTTTACACTCTTAAAAATTATAGCTGTCAGTATTTATAGCATTAGAAATTAAAACATTTTGAAAATATTTGTTCATGTGTTAACATAGGTATCATTTTTGTGAAAAATAATTATTTGCCAAAGCAAAAAAAAATGAGTACTGTTGTTTTATATATTTTTGCAAATCTCTTTACCATCTAATGTAATAGAAGACAGCTGGATTCTCTTATCTACTCCATTTAATCTATTGGAATATGTTTTAGTTGAAGTATGTGAAGAAAAACTGTCCTCACACAACTATCTAATTGGAAAATAGGAGTATTTTATTAGATAAATAACATCTTAGTATTATGATGAAAATAGTTTTGACCTTATGACCCCCTGGAAAGGTCTCAAGGACCCTCAGGAATGTCACTTCTAGTCTAGCTAATGGAAGCTGGGGAAGAGCCCTAACAATAGGGCAGTCTGAGGGAGTGAAAACAGCACAGTTAGGAAGACCTGAGTTCAAATAGAACCTGAATCACTTACTGGCTATGTGACCCAGGGCAAGTCACTTAACCTCCTCTCAGCCTCAGTTTTCCCAACTATACAATGAGGACAATAATAGAACCTGCCCCCCATGGTTGTTATGAGGATAAAATGATATATTGGCAAAGTGCTTTGCAAATTCTTAAAATACTATATAACTGCTAGCTATCATTATTATTATTATTGTTATTAGTGATAATCCCACTCTACACTGACCTGATTAGGTCTCATTTCAGACGTATTAGGTTTAGGACACTACTGTTTGTGCAAAAGTTGACCAGCCAGGGGAGTGAAGGGCCTCTAGTCTAGGTCATATTCAAGTCTAGGTCATATTCGATTCAACTCAATAAACATTTACTAAGCACCTACTGTGTGCCAGGCACTGTGTTAAACCTTGGAGATACAAAAAAAGACAAAAGATAGTCCCTGCCTTCAAGGAACTTACAATCTAAGCATGCAAATACTATATACAAAGCAAGCTATAAACAGGATAAATAGGAAATAACTAACAGATGGCACTGGAATTTAGGGGAGTTGGGGAAGGCTTCCTGCAGGAGGTTGGATTTTAGTTGGGATCAGTTGAAGGAATAGGGCATGTTTCGGCTAGAGAAAAAAAAACTGATAGCTGTCTTTAAATGTTCGAATGTCTGTTGGGACAGCTAGGTGGTACAGTGGATAGAGCACTGGACTTGGAACCAGGAGGATCTGAGTTCAAATTTGGCCTCAGATACTAGCTGTGTGACCCTGAGCAAGTCACTTAACCCCTATTTGCCTCAGTTCTTCATCTGTATAATGGGAACAGTGGAGATGGAAATAGCAAACTACATCAGTATCTTCTCCAAGAAAACACCATGGACAACATCCATTGGGTCACTTCGAGTCAGACACGACTGAACAAGAAGAAGAAGAAGAAGAAGAAGGGAGGAGATGTGTTCTGTTTGGACCCAAAAGGCAGAACCAGGAGAGATGAATGGAGGTTATAAAAGAGCAGACTTTAGGCTTACTGTCAGAGAAAAGTTCCTAACCATTAGAATTGGCCAAAAGTGGAATGAGCTGCTTTGAGAAATGATAGAATCCCCTTCCTTGACAGTCTTCAAGTAGAGACTGGATGATCACTTATACGAAATGCTACAGCAGGGATTCCCTTCCAGCTTTCAAATTCTGTGATTTTTTTCCCTGTGAGTTGAGAATACTTATCTAAAGGACTCCATCTGCCAGTGCTCTTTCTCCTCTAGTAGAATCACAAAAAATAATGTCATAGATGACAGAAGACCCCAATGCCTTCTACCTAACAACGCACAGAACTTAAGCCCTTTGTCATAATTTAAATTATGCTCCTCAAACAAAAATTTTTGCAAAACATGTATAACCTATATCAGATTGCTTACCATCTCAGGGAGGGGGGAGGGGAAGGAGGGAGAAACTCAAAATTTTTAAAAAGTGTTAAAAATTGTTTTTACCAGTAACTGGGGAAAAAATAAAATATTATTTAAAAAAAAACCTTGCAAAGTACTCTTTCTTTTTGGATTCTATTCTACCTCCCAAATGCCCTCACTGTTTCCTGGGGAGTTCTGGGGGACTAACCTGTCCTTTCTTGCCCTCAGCACTAGAGAGGCTTCTTGTGTGCAGTAGCCAGGCCTATACAGAAGTTTCTTGCTGTCATCATTATATTATCCTTTAATCTCGAGTTGTCAAGGGTAAAGGAAAATTGGGATCAGTTCCTCATCTGTAAAATGAGGGGGTTACACTATACAGCAAGGTCTCAATTAGTGTGAATGATAAATCCCCTGAAGTGGTCGCATGTATTTGTGTTTACACAGTTTGAAACAATAATTATGTAAGATGTGGTAATTGGTTCCAGTCCAATGGAAATGTTGTGTGAAATTCGAATTAATGCAGTTACTTTAGGGGATTAATTATTTCTCCTAATTAGGACTTAGCTGTATTTCTAAGGCCCCTTCATAGAATCACATGCTAGAAAAAACTTTAAAGATCACATAGCTTGACTTTCCCATTTTACAGATGAGGAAACTTAGGTGCAGGCATAGTGAGGCCTCAGGGAGCAGATGGTATATCCAATGTGAGAAGTAATCCAGGGGAGACAACACTTTAAAGTTTGCAAAGGGATTTACTTATATTATCTTATTTGAGTCTCATTCCAGCCTCTCACTGAAGCAGTTGGAAAGAGGGCTCCTTGAGTTGGAGGAATTTTAAAATGAGACATGACCAGTTTCTCCTACTCAGTTCAATCCTTTCCTTTGGCAGCAAATGCCTCTCCAAATGAATGATTATGTGGTAACCCAAGCATTCTCAGTAGGAGGGGAAAAGGAAACCCACACACAAGATTTACATGTCCAAAGTAAATTTATTAGAAGATATTCTTTACAGCTGGCTAGAAAGAGGAGTAAGATCCTGTTGGTCTGCAAATCTGTGCCCGGATTGGGGAGCAGGGGGGATGGTTTGGCAGTTCCGCACATAGCCATGGTATAGCAACTCCCAAGAAGGCTTCAAGTTTCCTTCCTTCCTTCCTTCTTTCCTCCCTCCCTTCCTTCCTTCCTTCCTTCCTTCCTTCCTTCCTTCCTTCCTTCCT